CTTTAAAAATATATTTTTAATCATGCTGCCTGGACATTTACGAAATAAATGTACAGAGTTGTTTATTAAATCAGTCTCCCACCAGAGAGCAAATAATATAACAAAGCCAAAAAACACACTGTATCATTTGTACTTAATTATGTTAGATGTCTAAGGTGTTTTATCTTTAAAATGTGCATTTATATACAATATAATAGCATTTTAGTAGAGAAAACACTAAATAGGTAAACAAGTATACAAATTATATATTTACAGCCAAAAAGAAAACAAACAAGGGGAGTTAAAGAGAAAAGATGGTCAAAAAAGAGCTTTCTAAGGAGGTCACGTTAAACCCAGATTGGAAGGATAAAGAAAAAACTAGCTATGATCAAAATGAAGGAAGAACAAACATTCTAGGAAACAGCATTAGCAAAAGCTCTGAGCAGGAATAACCTTAAGTGCTAAACAAAAACTGAAAGGAGGCCCTTATGACCAGAATATGGTCAATGGTGAGAGAATGCCACCCTTCTACAATATCTCATCTCACTACCAGAGGCCACAGAACCTTATAGGCTGGGCCATAATTTATTGTCCAAACCAGATCATTTTGACAGTGAAAAGGAGTTCTATTAATATTATGCCACGACAATAACCAGGACTGTGAAAAGCAGACAAGGACATATGGTTGTCCTACTTACAGGTCGTGGTAAATAGCTTGGACTTTATTTTTAATGGATTTGGAATCACTTAAAGGATTTTAAGCAGAGGAGTGGCATGCTCTAATATATACAGGGTGTCCCTCCAAAAATGTATACACACTTCAACAGCTGACAGCTCAATTTTGAAAATGAAATGTATTTTAATAAACCCTGCCTTTATAATTATTCAAAGGTGCATGTATACATTTTGGGGGGACACTCTGTATTTTAAGAAAATCACTTAAAATTTTATAAGGAAAAAAAATCATAAAAGGAACATATTGGAAGGGAGGCAAGAATGGAAATAGGAAGCCCAATTAGGAGGCTGTTGATTAAGAGATTTGATAAGTTGGCCAAAGGAAAAAGGAAGTCGAATCAGTGGATTTGCTATGGGTTGGCTGGAGAAGTAAGTGAGATGAAGAAATGAAGACCAAGTCTAGTTTTCTGGCTTTTGCAGCTATATGGATAGCACTACCATTTTGAAATGGGAAAGACTGACTTTTAGGAATCGCCTTTCTCTTTGGACTCATCAGAGTATTGACTTAGAGACAATATGCACATTTGACCTTTTTTTTTTTTTTTTTTTAAATCCAGTTCAAAGTTCAGGAGCTCATGGTATATACTTAAGAGTATGTACCACATAATACAGTAATTATAAAGTCTTGCCATTGCCTCTGCAGGTGCAATCCCCCCCCCCCCCGCCAAACATCAGGGAGATGAATCAAAGCCCTCAACTGAGTATACTGGCTCTTAAAATTTTAAGTATATTTTAAATCATTTGCCTTTCACCCAAGTCTATTCCTCTCAGTGTAATAACTAAAATGATGAGATTCATTTGTTTAGATTAAAATTTTTTTTCCTCTGATCTATTTCACCTAGTTATTTACAAAATTCCGAACAAAGAAGTGTTATTAGTAAGCTACAGGGACATATTAACATTTTTTTTAGATATGGCTGCCATAGTGACAACACCAATATTGAACATTTCTGTCATCACAGAAAGATCTATTAACCTATTCTAGACTCTAATATGGAAAACTATTCATGGGAAATTATATATAACTGAAACAATAGCTTCTTCCAAGCCACTTGGATAGCTGGCTGATTTCCAAAATAACACCCACTGGATTATCTAAAGCATGTTATTTACATATTTTAAATCAGTCATATTCTATCATATAACAGAAGTTAACTCATTTAGATGAAATCAGATAGCAGGACTCAGGTTAAAGGGCCCCTGTGCTACCTTCATGGAGTACTTTTGGTAGAGGAGTAAATATGAGCTTTAATGGCATGGTGGGAATATTGGAAGGAAGAAAGATGCCCCTGGCTTCACCCGCATTATCCGTCACAAGCCCTTCCTAGTAAGGCTCACACCTGGTTAATGCCCTGTTGTTATGACACCCATTAGAATTGGGTTCTGCTGAGTTAACACTTGCACACACCAGACAGAATGTTAACATGAGGTCAGCAGATGATCTATTCTCACCCTGACATTAAAGGCTTAGGAGATTTTGAAAATATACAAGTTAATGTGGATTATGAATGACTCACTCTGTTCAACATCAGCTGGGAAGAGCCCAAGACCATCTAGGGAAATCAGTCTGATTATCCATTTTTATGATTTGTTTCAAAAATATATAGGTAAAAACAGAACATATATTTTTAATTAACCAAATAAATAAACTGGTAAAGCTTTTAATTGCCTCCCTGCCTACTAGAATCAGAACTTCCTTCATTAAAATGAAATTTTAGTACGGGGGGAAAAGGCACTAGAAAAAGTGAAAAGTTAACTGTGTGGAAATAGAATGAATGCTTCCCATTCACTGATGCTCTTAAAATGGAAGATGGAAAAGAAGAGGGTAATGGAAAGGTAAGTTGGGAATCTACCATACACCGTGTGCAATGCTAGACTCTTTCACATCATCTTACTTCACTGAGTCCTCACAACCTAAAAGATGGGTACTTTTATCCCCATCCTATATAATAAAAGGCTAATATGCAAACTGTCCCCTCAACTGGGAGTTCGACCAGGGGGCAGGGTCAGTCGGCCAACCACTTGTGTCCCTTCCCTGTGGCTGGCCTGGCACAATTGGCCCGATCTGGGTGGGCCAGTTGGACCCTACCCATGCACAAATTCATGCATCGTGCCTCTAGTTTTATAAATGAGAAAAGCTAGATCCAAAAGGTTAAACTACTTTCTAAAATTCACATAGCTGGTAAGAAACAGAATCTAGCAAATCAATGCTTCTCAAAGTATGGTCCACGAATTGTTATTGGTCAGCAAGGATATTAGTCAGAAAGTAAGAATCTATACTAATAATAGAGGAATACGCAAATTTTCCGGGACGCCGTCACAGTAACGACCAAACAGCAGGCTGCGTGGGGCGACCAGGCCGGCGGGAGGGGCAGTTGGGGGCGACTAGGCTGGCGGCGGGGGGAGGGGGGGGCAGTGGGGGGCAACCAGGCTGGCAGGGAGGGCAGAGGGGGGCAGTTGGGAGCCAGCGGTCCCAGATTGAGAGAGGGGGGGCAGTTGGGAGCCAGCGGTCCCAGATTGAGAGAGGGATGTCCCTCGAGGGGTTCCGGATTGGAGAGGGTGCAGGCTGGGCTGAGGGGACCCGCCCCCTCCTGCACGAATTTTGTGCACCAGGCTTCTAGTAAGGATTATAAAACTTTTATATCAATTTGATATGGCCATGACATTTTTATTGTATTTTACAAAAGTTTTGGTCCACCATGGATGGGAAATTTTTAAATCCTGTCCCTCACAATAGTGTGAGAAGCAGTACACTAGACTCTTAGCCCTACGAGGACAGGGACTCTGTGTTGTTCACAGCGAAATCTTCAACACCTATTCCATGCAAGATTAGCTGAAATAGTGCACTGAAGTTCAAACTCAAGTCTTTTTGACTCCATAACATTTTTTGTCTCTATTAACAATAGAGCTTATCAACTGTCTTGTAGATACTTAAAATTTCCTTGGAGAGATCCTATTTAAACATGTCTATCAGGTGTCTGGGTGATCAAATCTATAATAATCTATAATAATAAAAGCGTAATATGCTTATTAGAACGGATGTCTTTCCAGACGACCTTCCAGATGTAGCCAGGGCTGCAAGGGAAACCTAGGTCCCAGGTGCCTGCCAGTGGTCAGAGGGAAGCCCGGGTCTTGAAGGGAAGTCCGGTCTTGGGTGCCAGAGGGAAGCCGGTGCCGGCAGCTGGGGGAAGGAAGGCCTATTCTTGCACGAATTTCGTGCATCAGGCCTCTAGTATTGTTATAATTCTTTAATGAATTACAAAAGAAAACTTACCAATATAGTCAAGAGTTCTGTGAGAAACTATTCACAGGGAAATATCTCACAAAACAAATTAGAATTGTTAAGAATTATTTTAGAAAATGTTTCTAAAGCTAGATATTTTTCACACAGGAATTAGCCTTCCATGTTTCTGTTGTACCAAATATAGAGCACAAGGAAATCATTTGGTGAATGTGAATCACCAAGTAAAACCCACTTTTCATGTGTGCCTAATAAAAGGAGGACATTTTTGCAGAGACATAAATGTGTGTATAGTTTGTGAGCCTACCACTTCTCAGCAATTAAGTTTACAATGATATTAATAATTACACCATCTAAGCAAAGTTTCACTTCAATTTCTTTTTTCATTGTTTCCTCTACCTTATCCCTTTCTTCTGTTAAGTTTTAAAATTTTGCCAAAATACAATTGGAATAAAGTAATACTAAAAGCACTTTAGCTGCCAATGAGTAATGAAACTTGTAAAAACCTGCAGATACAAAGGAGTGCATGAGAAAAATGAACATGTAGCCAGACACATATCCTAATTGTTTCCCAACAGGTTTGTTCAAGTCGACAATTATAAAAACTGAAACTAGAAAATAAAAATTTAGTTGTAAAAATGTCTATTTTAAGTCTCTTTTTATGAGCTTATTCAGAGAGACGAACAGAACTGAACACTGATCATGACATTCTGTATACACTGCTAATACAAAATTCTACTAATGGCAGACTTCTGCAAATGTCCAAGAAGAAATATTATCACTTTGAAAACTATTATGAAGATAGAAAGTATAAAGACTTTGGAGACAAAGTTATAAAGGCTCTCTATTTTTCAGAAATCATTTGGGTATATCACACATTTTAGAAAACTTCTGTATTTAAAAATAAAACCATATATTAGAAAGCACATACATGTATATACATATTAGTTTAAGTATATTTAAGTTATGTTGAAAATTTTGGTGGCTATGAAAAGATGTAAAAGACGACAGTCTTAGACTTTAAGAAAATATAGCAAATACTTACGATATGCAAAAGTTTTAACACATCCACAAACCTGTAAAAAACAGCAACGAAAGAAATGTTTTAAATGAGTCAATGGGGAAAACAGAGTCTTCTGAATCATAAACTAGATACTTACACTTTCTCTGAGCTCATGATCTCCTTGGCAATATAATGGACTTTACTTTTTATTCCAGTATCTTCATCCTGTGGATAAGAGTGCATTAAGAAAGCATGAATTAACAAAAGGATAATGAAGATTGGTTTTGAACTAGTCAGATATAAATTCAGTTCCATTACTTACAAGTTTCTGAATAGAACACATTTCATGCTATATAACATCTCAAATGACAAATGCAGAGAATTAGGTACAGTTATTAAACTTAATACAGGAGAAGCTGAGGGAATCGGTAATCCTCTACCATCACCAGCCCTAGATTGATGGGCTTCCCCAAGACACCCCAGAGCCTTGGTGCAGCACAGCCATCGGTGGTTCAAAACAGAAATGACCCCAACAGATACCACATGCACATTCTTCTTGGGGTGCACACAGTAATGAGAGATTAGTGAGTATCCGACAGGAATGTATAAGAGCACTTTACTCAAAGAAAAGTCACAAAGTCAAACACCTTAAGTGCAGTCTGAAAAGGGCTCTTTTTCACAGTCTACAGTACACCAAACACTGGCCAACATTTCAGCCACGGCTCTCATCAATTTACTTAAAATCCCTTTTAGAAATATGCTCTTTTACAACTGTTTTATTCTAAAGAGCTGAAATGATGCACCTGAAACCTGTATAATTTTGTTAGCCAGTGTCACCCCAATAAATTCAATAAAAAGGAAACAAAGGAGCAGAAATGAAATTCTTAAAATATGTACTGCTTTGTGTGTAAATTAAATACTCTAGCAGGAAGAAAAAAATGTTCACTCTGAGCAGGGAGAGGTGATTATGATTAGGAAGGAGGTCTAAATAGGTAGGAATTTAGAGACATGTTTTTATGGAAAAATGAAGAAAGCTGGTTTTGACTCTTAGTCATTAGAGCAAAGGAGGAATTTCTCCATTTCTATTCTGGTGAAAGGTCTACACACAGCAGTCCCACAGTGAAGGGCCAACGAGAGTAAATAAGGAACAAGCAATTGTAACATTTTTTATATTACACCTAAGGTGAAAAGTGTGACTATGGTTATTAAAAGGAAAACATACTGATGCTTCTGTTGAAGAAACATCAGACCTGGTTTTATTAGGAGAGACCTCCTGAATACATGCCGACCTTGGCAATACCAGAACCCAGTTATTTTGTGCTGTCCAAAGTGACGGTGAGCAAGGCACTGTCGCAATAAGGATAGAAAGTGACCATGACAATCCTGTAGTCAGTCACTAACAAGATGATACAGAAAAAAAATTAGTGATCTCTCATTATTAAAAATTAATAATAACGATAGCGAAGTGGTCTCCTCTTTTCTAAATTGAAATTATGGACCATCCTGGCACATCTGTTTACCTGAGCATCACTGTGATGGGTCAAAGGACTATCTTAGTTCCTTATTTGGAAAAAAAAAAGTTGTTTTTATCTGCTTCTAGAATTTCAGTGTCAGAACCAATATATAAAAATAGATGCAGTTTAACAATGAATGAAGCTCTTCAGAAAATTACATTTTAGTGATTTTTTTTAAAGTGTGTCTGCTGATGTTCTGTACATACATTAAAACCCTTTTATTAACTTCCTCAAAGCACTGGTGACATTTAAATGAATAAACACAAAGAGGAACCTTCAAGATTTTATAGCATGCTTAAATTTAGGTTCTTTTGTTACAATAATTTATATTACCATAAGTCAGTATTTTTATTTATTTTTATCCTCATCTGAGGATATGTTTATTGATTTTTTAATACAGAAAGAGAGAGAGAGAGAGAGACAGAGAAAGACAGAGAGAGAGAGACAGAGAGACAGAGAAACAGTGACTGGTTGCCTCCCATACACACCCTGACCGGGGATTGAACCCTTAACTTTTGGTGCGTGCAATGACACTCCAACACTGAACTGAGTCACCAGGCCAGGGCAAACCTTCATTTTTAGATTCAGTTTTTACTACACTGAAAATCAATGGATCATAAATGGTAGGTGAAGTCATAGAAGTGAATGAGATCAAACATAAAGGAATATGTAAAGTGAGAACTGGACCATGATCAGAATCCCAAAGAAGACCCACTTAAAATAGGGATTTGCCAAGATTCAAAGTTGATTATTAGCAGAGTTGGGAAGAGAACCCATATTTTTCAATATGCAATCTAGAAATTGTTCTATTACTCCCTGAATCTCTCTTCAGTATCTTCTGGTAATCATATCCTTAAAAATGAAAATGCATTAAAAATGAAAAAGAGAAACCTAAACCATTGAAAGAACTGAATTCTTGACTCTGTATTCTCCATTCTGAAAGGCTATAAGCCCTTACAGGTCAAGAGGTGGTTTTAGCAGTATCTATGCAGAAACTAGGTATACTATAGATGCTGGAGCATACCTAAAATGAATACCAGCTTCATACAACAATTTCAAGTAGGTATCCTTTATTTTTGGCATCTACCTTATATTTCCTTTCCTTTTTTATTACCCTCCTTTTGGTACATCTGTAACTCTAAACTTTTGTTTTTCCTCTTCAAAACCCTGCTCTGCCAGGGCCTGGGTTAGAGAAAATTGTGAAGAGTGACTCCATAGTAATAAATATTGTTATCCCCAGACAGATATCATGCTTCTGTTATAGCAGGGGACGCAATACTTCAACTTAGAAAAACAACTATGGGAAGCCTGACATTCCTTATCAGCAAAATGAGTGTTAAATTTTCAACTTTAAAATCCTAAGATTTAATCATTAAGTATCTCAGATCTTCAGGTGTGGTATGGCAAGTCCGTGAGACAGGGGTTGGCAGCGATCCAGAAGCAGCACTGGGGCTGTTGGCTATAGAGTATGTTTTTCTTTTCTAGAAACGAGACTGTAAACATCAGGGGTGGGGGGCTTGGTGGGTATTGGCATGAAGACAGATATGTAGATCAATGGGAAGAAACTGAGATAAGTATACCGTTACATTTATGGTTAATGAATTTTTGACAAAGTTGTCAAGGCAAATCAATGGAAGAAAGGATAGTTTTTCAACAAATGGTTGAGAATTACTGGAACAAGTGGATTTCCACAAGCAAAAAGATGAATTAGTCCTCTACTTGGCACCATTTATAAAACTTAACTAAAATCTATGATGGACTTAAACGTTAAGAACTAAAACAGTAACTCTTCTAGCTAGAAGTAAATACTGAAGAAAATCTTTGTGACTTTGGTTTAGGCTAACAGCTCTTAGATATAATGTCAAAATCGTGATCCATTTTAAAATTGGTAAAATTAACTTTGTAAGTTTAAAACTGTTATGTTTCAAAAAATACCATCTATAACAATAAAAGTGTAATATGCTAATTAGACTGGACGTCCTTCTGGACAACCTTCCAGATGAAGTCGGGCCAGGGGGAAGCCCGGGTCCCGGGTGCCAGAGGGAAGCTGGTGCCGGCAGCCGGAGGAAGGAAGGCCTACTCTTTTTTTTTTTTTAAATCTTTAATTTCTTTATTGGTTAAGGTATTACAAATGTGTCCTCATTCTCCCATTAACCCCCAACCTCTCCCCCGCACCCCCCCTCATGCTCTCTCCCCCTGTTGTCCATGTCCATTGGTTTGGCTTATATGCATGTATACAAGTCTTTTTTTTTTTTATTGCTAAAAGTATTACAAAGGGTATTACATATGTGTCCTTCCCCGCCCCCCTGCCCTTGACAATCCCCTGGCCTCCCTTAACCCCCAGTGTCTTATGTCCATTAGTTATGCTTATATGCATGCATACAAGTCCTTCGGTTGATCTCTTACCCCCCTCCCTCCTGCCCCCCAACCCTCCCTGGCCAGGAAGGCCTACTCTTGCATGAATTTCATGCATCGGGCCTCTAGTAAAGAAAATAAAAGATAAGCCACAGGTGAGGAGGAAATATTTGCAAATCATGATTCTGTATCCAGAAACATAAAAAGCTTATAATACAACTCAGTTAAAAATGACTAAAATTGGAGATAAGAAACGCCCTAACCTTTGGAATAGAATGGATAGGATTAAGATCAAATAGTATAAATATAGATGTAAAAGGACAATAAAGAGAGGAACCTGGCTATGATGATCACCTGAAAAAAAAATGAGTAAAATAATGGGGGGGATAAGGACACATTTGTAATACCTTAACTAATAAAGAATTTTGTAAAATATGTGAATAGACATTTCACTAAAGAAGATGTAACAATAACCAATAAGTATATGAAAAGATGTTCAACATAATTAGTCATCAGGGAAATACAAATTAAAGCCACATCAAGACAGCACTCACACCCACAGAATGGCGATAATAAAAAATCAGAAGTAAAGCCACTATTGGTGAAGATGTGGAGAAACTAGAACCTTTTATACATTGCTGGTGGTTATGGTAGTCCTTGGTCATATATTGTGATTTGAGGTTTTAGCTGTCTCCTAATATCACTAAAGGCAGAATTTATATTTCTTGTCTTCCTTGTTATCCTGAGATAATTTCTAAGAGGCAGGAGTCAGGACCATCTTTTCTACATCATTTTAAAATCTAAACTTAGTAACTATTATTTGATAGCAAGGTTAGCAGGAGAAAACAGCTCCACTGTCAGCTGATTCATTGCTCTACAGCTAAGTCTGAAAACATGAGTGATCATTAGAACCAGGCAGTGCTTAAATGTCAGCTTAACTGACATTTAAGTTACAGCCAGGTAACTTGCAAATTCTCATTCTGTAGGTCTGAGATGGGGCATGAAAGTGGGTGTTAGAAGAGGGAATGAAAGATAAGTAAGAAATAGCCCTAGCCTTCAAGTAGTGACTAATAGGAGCAAACCAAATATACAAGTAACTATTATAAGGACAACACTGAAACATGCTGACATCTTTTGTTTTTGTTTTTGAAATATATTTTTATTGATTTCAGAGATGAAGGAAGAGAGAGAGAGAGAGAGGGAGAGAGAGAGAGAGAGAGAGAGAGAGGCAGACATTAATGAGAGAGAATCATTGACCGGCTGCCTCCTGCAGGCCCCACACTGGGGATAGAGCCCACAACTTGGGCATGTGCCCTTAACCAGAATCGAACCTGGGACCCTTCAGTCCACAAGCTG